CACATTTGTATGTAATTCTGCGAACAAAAGGTGACCAAATAAGCTCTAAACGAATCTGAATTCAACAAAAACCATTCATACTCATAATTAACTTAATAATGGGATTCCAACTTCAATGCACTAAACAATGACACAGAATAAACAAGCATTAACTCGAGTATGGTTTTAATGCCGAGTGTTTTAACCGTTAGATTCGATTTATAGAACTATTAGATTTTATAATTTCAATCTTAGCCATTTATTTTCTGTATCATTAAACAATTTTTCCACTAAAATTCAATAACACATCAATTTTTCCCAATTAAATCACAATGCCACTACTCCAATCAATAAAAAATAGAACACCATACCGGTTAATGCACATGCCTCTTCGCCACACCCACCTTGGACCCCACAAACTGCGACAATAGTCACTCCCACTTGGGGTCCACCCACTCAGGAATGACAGGATGAATCCCACATGATGGGACTGCCTCCGTTTGAGGAAGTTGAACAAGTGGCGGATAAAGTCGTTGATGTTGTTGATAGACATTGGCATGGTTGGATTGATAGTAACTAGGTTGCTAGTGGTGGTGGTATTGAGGTTATTGTGGGTGCTCATAACGAAAGCAGTAAGCTTGGTTCACTTGAAATATGTTGGTGTGACCTTGTTGCTACTGTTGTTGTTGTTGGAATTTGTTAGAATTCCTCTATCCAACATAGGCCAAAAGGCTTGAGAATAAGCCTTCTAAATAGAATTATCCCACTCTAACTAACACCAAGGCCTTTTGTATTAAAACCCCACACCTGACGAATTGAGTAGGTAGCCAAGTGAGGACAGTATCGGTGTTGTTGGAGTGGGCCTATGGCCTGTCTACTTAAAAATTTAAGATGGTATCAGAGCTAGAGGATGGGCCTGTACTGCCACGTGAATGGGTGAGTCCCCTTTGACCCCGCGCAAATAGGGACCCACCTATTCTCTTGGTCTACGTAGAGCTCTTCGTTTTCAAGCTAACCTACCATTAGAATTTTGGGGAGAAATCATACAAACTGCTTGCTATTTAATTAATCGATTACTAACACCTTTACTTTCCCATCAAACACCATATGAACTCCCTTATAAAATGGCACCCACATACACACACACCTACGTTGCTTTGGGTGCCTATGTCATGCTACCAACCTTTTGCCCATGCATAAATTTGACCAACGAGCACGTCTTTGCATTTTTGTAGGATACCTTCTAGGTTAAAAGGGATATAGGGTTTATGACCTTACTACATGCAAATTCTTCTCATCAAGGGATGTTGTTTTCTACAAACATATATTCCCTTTTCAAACTTTACCACCTCAATCGTCCCAACCTGATGCCACAGTCTTTCCCACACCACAACTCCTACACTTTGATAACAACCATACACACTCCCCCACGCCAAGCCCTAATGAGCCTGCAACTACATCCCCAACCATCCACACCCTTGATACATCTCCCTCTCTGGCGCCATCTACATCAGCGCCACCTACTCCACCGCCACCCACTTCAACGCCTACCTTAGACACCCCATTGCCATCCTCTTCACCACTTGGCTTGCTGCCTACACCACCACCAAACCCCCCACTTCGACATTCTTCACGTGTACCAAAACCCAATGTTTGACTTCACAATTTCCACTTATACCATGCATCCACCGTTACCCCTATTTCTTCATCCTTTTCCACAGGTACGCGGTTTCCTTTATCTACATGCCTTTCTTATGAACAACTTTCGACTCCTTACAGGAGTTTCATTTGTAATGTCACAACACATATAAAACCTATGACCTTTGACCAGGCAAACAATGATCCCAAATGGAGAGAGGCCATGGTTGCTGAGCTATTAGCACTCGAACAAAAAAATATATAGACCATCACATCCTTGCCTCTTAGACATCGTGCCATCGGTTGCAAATGGGTTTATAAAATCAAATACCACTCGGATGAGACCGTTGAAAGATATAAAGCTTGCTTGGTTGCCAATGGATTTACCCAACATGAGGGAATTGATTACAGAAAGACTTTTGCTCCCGTAGCCAAACTCACAACCGTGTGATGCTTGCTTATCATTGCCGTTATTCACAATTGGTCCCTCCACCAAATGGACGTTCAAAATGCCTTCCTTCATGACGACTAACTGAGGAAGTTTACATGCACTTACCTCCTAGGCTCCATCAGCAGAGGGAGACTCGAATGGTTTGCCGACTCAACAAATCTCTCTATGGCTTTAAGTAGGCATCCCAGAGTTGGTTCCAGAAGTTCTCCAGTGCAATTCGCCAAGGTAGCTTCCAACAATCCATGGTTGACTACTCATTATTCACAAAGGTATCAGGTGATTCCTGTACAGTGGTACTCATATACGTAGATGACATGATTATCACAGGCAACGACGATTCAACCATAGCCAGTCTTAAAGCTTTCCTCACACCCAATTTCGTACAAATGATCTTGGCCATTTACGATATTTCCTTGGTGTTAAGGTTGCTTGTTCAGCCACTAGGATCTCAATATCACAACGAAAGTACACATTAGATTTATTGGACGAAGCAAGCCTACTTAGGGAAAAGCCGATACAAACTCCCATGGAAGAAAATGTCAAGCTCTCACCCATGGATGGTGAACTGCTCAAGAATGCCTCTTACTATCGGGCGCTAGCTGGGAGGCTCATAAACCTCACCATTACAAGGCCGGAAATCACTTACTCAGTACACATTTTGAGTCAGTTCATGCAACATCCAAAAAAACCACATCTTGACGCAATCCATCGTCTCTTACGGTATTTGAAAGGGGCACTTGGGGAAGGTTTGTTCTTTCCATCCAAAGTTAACTTCTTGTTAACCAGTTTCTGTGATGTGGATTAGGCTCATTGTTCCATAACGAGATGATCAGTGACAGGCTATTGCATATTCCTTGGAGGAGCACTTGTATCGTTGAGAACTAAGAAATAAGGTACCGTTTCACGTTCCTCGACCAAATCAGAGTATCGGGCCACGGCTTCCATAACATATGAGCTCACATGGATGCGATATTTACTAAGAGACTTGCAGGTTACACACCACAAGCCAGCTCGACTTTATTGTGATAATCAAGAGGCAGTTCACATAGCTGCAAATCCAGTGTTTCATGAACACACCAAATACATTGAGATAGACTGCCATATTGTTTGCGAACAAATCCTGTCTAGCGCCATTACAATAGCACATGTGTCCTCTGCCAATCAACTTGCTGACATATTTACTAAGCCACTTGGACAAGGAATGTTTCACCCTATACTTGGCAAGTTGGGTGTTCATGACATTCACTCTCAAACTTGAGGGGGAGTATTAACGGAAAGATTGGTTCCTTGATTGTAGGAATATGTGCTGCTTTATATTAGGATCATATCATTTAGATTATGTAGATTGATTTCATGTATAAATTACCTAGTCTAGATAGAAGGTCAACTGTTGTAATCCTATATATTAGGCACCTTCTTGTATACTGATTATTATGAATGAATAACCAAATTCACAGAATGCTCAATTTTAAGTTGGTATCAAAACCAGGGGACAAATCCGTACTGCTACGTGAACGGGTGGGTCCCCTTTGACCCCGCACGAATGGGTGAGCCCCGACTTGGCTCCACGTAGGCCAAGAGATACCACGTGAATGGGTGGGTCCCTATTGGCCTCGCGCGAATGGGTGAACCCCAACTTGACTCCACGTGGTTACCGATATGTGGAACTCCACATGTGACCCATAAAATGGGGTCTCACATGCAGGGGAGTGTTAGAATTATTCTATCCCACATTGGCCAGAAGGCTTGAGAACAAGCCCTTTAAATAAATTAGGAAAGATTGGTTCCTTGATTGTAGGAATATGTTCTGCTTTAGATTAGGATCATATCATGGAGATTATGTAGATTGATTTCATGTATATATTACTTGGCTCCACGCAGGCCAAGAGATGCCACGTGAATGGGTGGGTCTCTATTGGCCCCGCACGAACGAGTGAGAGTAGAGAGCACATGCTGCAGGGCAAAACAATGACTTAATAATATTCATATCCAAGCTGGTTGTTTTTGGTTTTGTTTTTATTTTCTGGGTTACTGGATTTTTTCCATTCTCGAGTTATGAGGTGGTATGATTTGATGAATTGCTGATCGTTGTGTGCAGGCGCATGCTAGAATGGCATGGTCCTTGATTGTGTCTTTCGTGCTTGTAGTACGGGTAGCTTCTTTATTCAAAATTATTCACGGCTCATATTCGCGTCTAAATGACACTTTTTTGAATAATTTGAAAAATGGTGGGTGGTGTGTGTGAGCTTCTTTTTTATATGTGTTTTGTTTCGTTGTTGCAAGTGGCAGTGTCAAACGTTTCAGTTGTAGCTACGTTCAATTGAGTTTTTAAGTTCTTAGTTTGTGTTGGTGAACTTGAATGTTTGATGGGTTTACGTAGAATCTCTCTCAATAACATAAATGTCAGCTTGCCTCTGGGCCCTTGTGTGTTCATTTTTAAATATTGCTTTCAGAAATTTCAAAATATTTTTTTTACCATGATGATAGACTCTACTCGGTGACCAAAAGGAAAAAGTAGGTGTAAGAACCTAGCACTTCTTCCGGTTGCCTTTGCCCTAATTTCATTTGTTTCCATATTGTATAATGTGATGCATTGAGGTTCTGAATTTATGTTGTGTTAGAATTTGCAGTCCCAGGACCCTCAAAAGTTGTTCTTTTGTCTTAACAGTAGACAAAGAATCAGCCTTAAAGCATAGCAAATTATGTCCAGCAACTCACAGAAAGTGACTGATGATTGGAGGTCTAGCGCACTCTGCTACGCAAGCATAAGAACCATCGGCTTGTTTTAGCATTACCTGCCAAGGCCCTGCACAAAATGAAGAGAATACCCATTGAGAGGATTTTACAATGCACGATCAAATGACATATAAACATTCAAACTAGCAACAATCAATTGAATTGAAAGAACATCAACAATAACGAGAAATCGAAATTCAAAATTTAATCAAGCGATCATATATGATTACAGAGATTTTTCCATGTGAACTGGCCTCGAGTTTAATTCAAGCTACTATAAAGCAAGGTTTATAGTACAAAATCAATGGAAGCTCGTGTAAATCAGAGCTTCCATCCGGCCCTTTTCCCATTTTTCCCCAAAATAAAAAGGAAAAAGAATAGCTTCTTCTCTGCTGCAATTTTGTCCAAGTACATCGCCTCTCTGTGCCGTCATTTTCATCCGGGGGAGCTTCTGCGTCTTTTCAAAGTTCAGGGCTCGACGGTGGAGGGCGACTCACCCAATTTTCGGAAAATAAGCTTCCCTTTCAACTGCGGCTTGAATGGATGCCATGACCTTAACCAGCGAAACCCATGCGAATGGCGCCGCACAAAATGCGTACGCAAATACAGAGAGAGCTCGTACAACACCATCTGGGTACCAAGGAAATGCCATGACAAAGAGGACACCGAAAAACCCAAGCCACGGAGCTAGAACAGGTACCATTGGCAGGAACAGAGCGGTGATTGCTACGAAGCAAAGTGCAAAAGAGCCAAGCAAATACAAACTCCAGCCTAATATCGGGTGGACTGTGTGAGGAATGAGTACGAATGGTACCACGTATGCAGCTACAATCGACCACGCAGCTATCATTTTGAGGATGGTGTGTATCAAGTTAATGCTCTTGTCCGAGCGCCTATAGCACAGCTTCGATATATTTGGTCGTGTTAGGCGCGTCATTGCTATTATTCCGATGTAAATTAGCGCCTGGATTAGGATCACTGGCATCTCAGCACCGTACCTGTATAATAGAGGAAATCAGTGACAATTAGAAGCCAACGATTAGTTATTATGGCTGCATTTTAGTTAACACATCGACTGCCAGATGATGTTGATCAGTAAATGCAATGACAAATGTAGTTGCTCTATCATTACTTTGTTGAATGGTCTTACCCGAGAGTTTGATGACGTCGTGCATGCCATGAAATGCCCAACGGGAGAACAGGCCATGACCACCAATACCATGGCTTCAACCATGCAGCACCGGGGAAGGTAATCACGCTGTTGGGGCCGCAGGGTACGCTCCAATGCAATTTAAGATCTGAGCAACCAAAAGTAGAGCATGGCTAAGACAATAGTCATTGTTTTCCTGATGACTTCAACTTAAAAATGTTAAATGCTTTGCTTACAATAATAAGAAGCATCCATTTGGTAGCCCAAAGGCAGTCTGTAGTGTCCGTTAAGCTTGGAGCCGTTAGAAGGTGGATGGAACAAGGGCTGATCAAGTAAGTCGGAAAAGTAACCACCTATAAAACCCTGGTCAGCACCGTCTGGATTGTCTCTTCCAATTTCAACCTCATGAAGCAGGTCCTTGAATACTTTCATTGATGGCTGCAATATCATAACCAAACGAAGCCCGGAATGGTTTTTGTCAGTTAACTACAACAGCAATTCAACTAAAGTGCTTGATTCTGATGGTTGATGCAACCGAAATGCTAAGGAGCTAAAGCAGTACTCTAACTTGACAGTATAACATATCCTAAAACCTTGAGGTTAGAGTCAATGCAAAACTTTATAAAATACAATTCATTACTGGGAAATGTCATTGGCGCTTCAAAAAGATCATAACGCACTCATCTTTTATAAAAGTACAAATGCTTGAAGGAAAGATTTACCTGCAACACAAAGAGGCCTGTATGGAAGATGCAAGGGTTAATGAAAGCTGCACAGAATTGTCCACACTGGAAAAGCTCATCGGTTTTTTGGAGAAAGAGGTTGTCAGCATCAAGCATGACCACTCTGTCATAGTCCACTAAGCTCCATGCATACAGTTTGTTGAGTGTTAACTTGAATCTTTTGTCAAAATTGGCCTGATTTCTGTATGGATTGTTCACATTTTCCACTCTCACCACTTTGGCCCCATCTTCTTGTTCTCTGAGTCAAAAAAATACCAAAAACTTGTCTCAGTTTATGAATGTGGCAATCATGGTACATGCTATCGAATTCTTCATTACAAGTTAAACAGAGCCCGTCCTTCTGGTCACTTGGTGACCAAGAATTTATGGTCACCGACCTTTAGATTTGATATCAAGGGTTGAGATTTAAACAACGGAAGTATATCAATTTATTCTCCACTCTTGATTCAAATGCAAGGGTGAGTGATCATCTATTGTTTGGTCACCAAGTGACAAGGAAAACATTCCCGTAAATAAATATAAACAGTACAATACTAATGGGTGAATATAGCTTTTTTTGGGCTAAGCCTTATAACGGACTAGCAATAATGTAGTTAAAATTTGTCTTTGGCGAGAATTGAATCTAAAACCTCTCACTTATCAGTAAAGAGGAATACCACTAGACAGTAATACTAAGTGGCTAGTTAACATAGCTTTTAAGTCCCATTTCATCCTTATCTTTCTACTTTTTTGCTAGGCAAGTGGTAGTGCTGCCACCCTTCATATTATCTTATCAAACCAAGGGAGTAGATTTTCTTGGAAATGAGAAAATTTGGTACAACTTCCCCGTCACGTGGTAGGTAAGACACAATGTGCTACAAAATCTTAATTATGACTGAAAACTTCCTACATGTAAACAATACATGTAACATGTCACTCAACTTGCCACGTGAGAGAAATGCTCGACCTAAGTTTTTCTCACAATTTCTAGGGTTTCATCATTTCGATGAAGCAATCCTCCACCCATTACTATTCTATTCCACTCGTAAAACCGAAGGCTTTCGGTTAATGCGAGGAGAGGAACTTCCAGAACATGGAACGTCACTACGATTATGTGACAAATTAATTCATTGGATTATTAATGCGTACCTGTTAAGTCTTAATTGGTACGATTAACAACTCAATAAGTTGATTTCCTGCTACAGTGGGAGAAAAGAGTTGAGTCTTTGCATAATTATGTGGATTCGAATTCCATTAATAACTAAGGGGGTGTAGTCAATTTGGATTTTAGAGGATTTTAATGAATTTTTTTAAGTAACAAATTCTAAAGGATTTTAATAGACTCTACAAATTTATATGGATTTTGGTAGATTTATATGGATTTTTATTATAGATTTCTATGGATTTGTATGGACTTGTTTCATGGATTTCTATGGATTTATAGTTGATTCCTACAACATAAATGATATAGAAATCGGACACACAAAGTAAAAATTCAGATAAAGCAACCACAACAAAAACACATTGTAAAAGCTCAAGGTCATGTACTAGTTTACTATACTATAGTACTACGCATCAATATCCTCATCACCCAATATTTGTTAATGAAAATGCTAAATAGATAAATACATGATCAACGATTAAATGTGAAAGATGTTGAGTTAATTGCTGGTCAATGTGAAAAATCTCTCTCCACCATTAGAATCTCTCTCTCTCTCTCTCTCAATCTGAGAAAATACAAGAAAAGGAAAGATAAAAAAGCAAAAGCAGCTGTTGACGGTTTCAAAATTTCAACAAAGCAAGCAATCAGAAGCTAACAACTTTGTGCCGAAAATTTAAATGGGTTTAGACAGCACAAAATAGCAGCTCAAAGTGCGATTAAATACGAAAACGATGAGGGTTTAAAACCAGCATCGTGGTGCGGACATTGCCAGGCCTTGAAACCCCGTGACGGGCAGCTACCAAGCTCAAGCGCTAAGATGTACTTTTGCCAAGGTGGACGCCAAGGAGAAGAACAAGTTGTCGCAGGAGTACAACATCGAGAGCATGATAAGAAAGAAGTCAGTTTGAAGAAAGAAATCCTAGGGGTGTGAATCGGATTCTTCACAGCCCTTTTCATTCATAAATGGGCTCTCAAATCCTCCAAAATCCATTACTTAATGAAATCCATTAAAATCCATAACATTTTGAATACCTACAGATTTGTACCAAGAAATTTAAATCATTTGGATGTGGATGTATTCTTTCATATCCTGTTAAATCTTACTTTGACTACACCTTGATTTTAAAGTCCTTTAAAATTCTCTTTAAAATCCTAATTGACTTCTAAAGTCTTTTAAAATCCTTTCAAATCTTAATTTGACTACACCTCCTAATATAACATTTAATTCAACAAAATTTATTATTTGACAAAAATATCAAAATAACAAATAATCAGTTATATATTCCGTACTTACTGCTAGAATTAGTGACATTTGATTCAAACAATGGGTGTTGAATGCTTCAGAATATTAGATACTCTGGACGATTTAACAGTGGAGATATTTTCAAAAAGTCGAACGATGAAAATATCCCAAGTACTCAAAAAGTCCCTTCAACCGAGTCCAGACCATTTTTGCGTTGAAAACATAACCACCCAAAACAACGGACTAGGTTCATCAAGAACAAAACAACGTTTTTCCATGTCCCGTTCGACCGACTTTACACTAACCCAATCGAAACACGCCACGTTACACTAGTGGGACAGCCCATCCCCATAAATATCGCCACCAATCCGCCCTGACCATTTGGTAAGCATTTCCACTTGTGCGCTGTGACTTATAAGGCATCAATTTGGCAGATACCACCCACATTCTTATCCAAAAATGGAGAGATTCAAGATGGGATTTATTATTATAAGAATAATACGACAGAGATTAAAGTTTTAAATTAATTTTATAAATCAAATAATGTGTTCAATAAATACGTTAATCAACCGTTAAAGAACCCTAGCTCGGAGGTCAGGATGATATTTTGTAATTAAATTGACTCAGCTAAGATCATAAAAAAAAAAAAAAAAAAACTACTTAATTTTCAATTCAGTGATATTTATCTTCGAGATATTATATTGGACTCACATGGAAAAAAAGGAAAAATTGGACGGGACCCATCCAGAAATCGTTGACCATTTTCAGTTGGAACTACCCAAATTAATCACCACCAACGACGCATCAAACCTAAACCTACATTGGTTCAACTCCCATTTGACTAACCCTTCAAACACCAAAAGAACTTAACGTGCGCCGAAACGGCTACCTTTATTCTAACGTACGCTAGAGCTCCCGTGCGCGCACGTTACGAAGCAAAAAGCAAAAAAAGAGAAGAAAAGGACAAAAAACGAAAGCTGAGAGTGTGAGGGTGGGAGACTTACAGAGTTTGGACCCAGCGGAGAGGCACGTCCGGCGAAGCAATGACGACCAGATCGGCCTCCACGTGGAGCTTGGAGAGCGATCTGAGCATGACACGTATCGCCACGTAGAACTCGTAGTCCCTCGGCGTCCCCATGTACATCATCGTCGCGTAAGCATTCCGGTAGCGCTGCTCCTTCTTCAGCTCGTAATTCTTCTCAACCGCCGCGGTTTCGAGAACAAGAAGCGGCAGCAGCAGCAGCGAGAGGGTTACGGAAATTCCAATGCTGCCCTTGGCCATTGAGCTCTCTCTGACTCTCTCTCTCTCTCTCTCTCTCTCGCTTCCTCTCTCTAGGCCTCGATCGCCACTGGAAGCGGAAGGAGTTTATTTAATGGGGGAGAAGTCGCAGAGAACGAAGAGAGAGAGACAAAGAAAGAGAAAGTGAGTTTTGAATTTTATCTGAATTGGAAACAACGAGGGAAGGTGTTTTTCTTATGGCGAAGATCTTTGTGATATCCGGACCGTTCATTTAACTATGTGAGATCTGAACCGTTCATCTCATCGTCGTATTGTAATAATAAGTGTGACGCCTTATCGTCTTGGCGTGTTTGGGGGCATTTTTGAGGTCGGTCCAGTACGGCCCCGTTTACGTCCTTTTCTGGTAATTTCATTTCTCTTTTTATATTTTAACCGTGGGGCCCACTTTTGGTTTGCGTTGTTGTGAAATTCAAAGTAGCGAAAAGTTTCCACGTGGCCGTGAGTCTTGAATCTGAGAGACCGCGTTTTTCGAATTCGGCCTGCGAAGATAAAAATACTTCTGCTCAACACCTTAATGGTCACCGTCCATTGATTGCGGTTGATGAGTTTGATTTAATATATCTATCACAAAAGTTTTGAAACTAAAATTAATTTAACGATAATTAAGAAAATGATCAGCATTATCATCACTTTATGATAAGCAAAATGCACTTTGTGAAAATCGAATTTAAGTAAAGTAGTCTCGTGTACGATGTCTCATCCTACCCATGTTTGAAAACCAGATGTTATCAGATGACAGCACAAATGTTGTGTACTTGCTAGATTCATTGGGTCAAATAATTAGTACATTAATTAGAAAACTTAATGAAATAATGTAAGCTTAGAATTGATATTGTTTTTTCCGTACAATAAATTATGGTTGTATAAAAAAAAATTCTCAAATGATGTATGTTTCATTTGTACAATATTTAGGTGTATGCTCGATTTTATTCTTATAACTAAACGTAAAACATTAGTGTTTTTACAAATTTATGACAAAATTGAGACCTAATTGTTGATAGCCAATAATAATGTCATATATTTATTACGTATGTATTCACATGTTATAACTTGTAATATATCGTTGGTCAAACCAAACAGGTTGTTCCTTTACCATTTTTGCTCCAACAATGCGGTCTTTCTACCAGACGGGACTCGTACATTTATTCTCGCATTGTGTGATTGTCACCGGTTGCGTGCTCCATAATTCTTTAAAAATCTGGCCTTGTTAACTAGCATGCCAAATCTTTGACAAGTGCAGGAACCCTACCTGGCGATATATCCTATATTCTTTTTTTTAATTTAGGGCATCCATCGACTTGATGAAAGTCAAATATTAGTACCATGTTAGGACAATCTTTGAAAAACAGATTAAGTATGGCTGGATCACTTTACTTACATCCACAATCCAACTAAACAATGCTTACCTTTTGTCACCACTTTACGTGTCTATATATGTAGCGCAGGGCATTGAAGAAATTGTCTGTGTCAAAACTCCTACTCACTAACCATGACAAGTGATTCAGTAAAAAAAAATATGATCATCAGCTCCCTAAAAGAAAGAAAAAAAAAAAAGAAGAAGAAGAAGAAGGTTCTGGGCTACATAGGGCATTGAAAAAATTGTCTGTGTCAAAACTCCTCCTCACTAACCACGACAAGTGTTTCAATGGAAAAGTACGACCATCAGCTCCCTAAAAGAAAAAGAAGAAGGTTATGGGTTCGACATTTTGTAAGGTGTGAATCTACATGATCGTGGTCACTGGTGGGGTGTAATTTCTAACTAGCCTCATCCAAGCCCAAAAGGGATAGATAACCGTGGTTCGTTACCAGTTATCCATTTTTTAATTAAAAAAAAAGAAAAAAAAAACTCCACCTCACTAACTTGATCAATTTTTTTAGAACTCGCTGGTTGACATATTACGTAATTTTTGTTTGATCTGTACAAAGCGAATATCCGTAGAGATTATAGCTTGCATATCATCATTCATCACGAACTTTGTAATCAAATAGATAAATTCGATGCTACAAATTAAAGCGACACCTTGCTCTATGTTTATGTCACCAACTTTGTAATTAGCCAGGGAGATTAAGGATTATAATTCTTTTTCAATGCAGCTTAGGCCAACTTTCATCTGATCAAAAACAAGGATAGAGACAGAGAGACGGAAAGATGAAAGATCTGTTCACTTTATTTATCAATATTATCGGATTAATATATAATTATTATGATAATAACCGCCCCAAACAAGAGAAATTTTTAGTTGTAATGGAAACACGAATGGTATATCACGTGTTTTTATGTAAGTGATGGAAAATTTTAATTTTTAAGTTATTAACATTTTAACACACATAACCCACCATTTATATAAGGACACGTAATGTACTACCTCGTGTGAATGTCACATTGAAAATCTCTCCCCAAACATGCATCTATATTTGGTAACTGGATTAGTATATGAATATTGTAGTTTTAGGGTTGACACTGAACCGTGATACTCGGAAATGGTGGTGGGATGGCGTGCTCTACGCTTTAATATATATATATAATGAACGTAAGATGAAATTGTTGAAATTGCAGTAAACCCGGTGCAGGTATATGCAGGCATGGATCAACTGGGCGAAACACATATGTCCCAGAGTAATCCTGCTGCTGTTTTGATTAAACTTAATTAAGCTTTTAATTAACGTGGGGTTTGGGATGATGATACATGCTGTCCGTGGTCTAGTACCGATTGATTAGGACTTCTGTGGTGTCACTTATTATATATTAGTTGACAGACGTACTTTGAGTAAATGTTCAGAGGAAGACCATTTCCTTTTCATCGTGTTACTTTTTGCAATTTAGTTTACAGCTTTAGCTATATAATGGTTGGTAAATGGGAACAGACGTTTTTGTTGGTACATATTTGGTGGTATTGGTAGTTTAACATGGTTAAAGCATTGGAGTGGTGGACTGTTTTTGTGTTTAGGTCTTTTCTCTTCAATCCATTATCTCTTCGAATCAAACATTTCTCTATTTCTCTCGTAAAAATTAAAGTAGTAATGTTGTTTGTATTTAAAAAAAATAATGATGAAAGCATTTGCTAACATCACATCACATCACATATAATTTGGGAGTCTCATGTGTAAAGCTCATTTAGGTTGCTTTATACTCAAGCCCAACATCATATGTATCTTTTTGGGCTTGATTGAAAATAATTGTTTTCTTTTTGCCTTTTCTTTGGGTTTGTTCTCACTTTTCATACCCAAGCCCACTGATACCACTGCACAAGATGCCAGCACTGTAGAATCAAGTCAAAAGAAAAGGAAATTAGCATTTATGCTGAAAGGAGAACATTGTCATGCACATATTTAGTTGACCAAGTAGATACAATATATGTTGGAAGTATGTACAATTAGGCACTCATTCGATTTAATAGCTTTTGGAATACTTATTATGTTATACTCTTATTTGTTTAATGGAAGGGCAAAACTTATTGTTAATTACTATTTATTGTTTCATGTGTTTAATTCAATAACAGAATCCAAGGAATATATTCATCCTAATAGAGAAGTGATATGAGCAAGTTAGATCAACAAGACTTTTCTCTTATGTTCATTCCTAACGTTCTTAGTCACATGATTGTCAATTCGGCGTTGACAATATGCTAAGGTTTGTATGTGTTTTGTTGACTCAATTGGGAGTATGACTAGTCTCAAGTTATTTAGTGTTGGGCACTAAAACATGCACATATGTTCTTAGAGGGTTCTTGAGTCCACTGAATAACGATCAAAAGAGAGTTCTAACATACATGTCATTTGACCTAAGGCATCATAGTTGTCTAGTGGTTAGGTCATTGATCTTTGATAATGTCAAAGAGATTCCATTGAAAGTGCCAACAACATTGTTGGGGTTAAGCTATCTAATCATGTAGGCATATGAATGCACAACAAGGGATCTCTAACCTTCCATGGTGGAAGGAGAATACTCTGAGATATGATTTGAGAGTATTTGGCCAAAGTAAATGAATATGACTTAGGAAGAATATATCATATTCAATAGAATTATACAAAGAAGTATCACATTGAGTAGTAGACATAAAACAAACTATCAGTTAAACAATGTGATCAAGAGTATTGAATTAGAGATGGACCATATTGCATTGTAGTTGCAACTGGATAGGTTCCCCAACCACTTCTACATAGCTTAGGTAACCAGTGATATGATTTTTACCACATGCAAAAGTATGGATAAAAACACTTAAAAATACTTGCAAAAGTACAAGTTAGTTGTAGTAAAAATGCTCATACAAGGTCGTTCTCCATAGGGATTATTGAAAACAATTTAGGTAAAAACCAAATCTTAACTAACTATTCAAAACAAAGTTTCGAAAAGATTGATTTTATGACTTAAAATAATAAAAACAATTTAAAAGATTCGGCAGAAGGAAAATAACAGAAAGTAAATGGCTTTGAAAACCAACTTAAAAAGACACTAGGATTCCGTCATTACCTTAACAATCTTACGTAGTTCTCCAAATTACATATGAATTGCCCATGCATATTTTGAAGGTTAGGTTTTCCTAAAGTATTTTCTACTTGGACCTCCAATCAGAACGTACCAAGGATGCAATCCGTCTAGATGTTCGGATCCAATGTGAACATGAAAGACTCATTAAGCTTTATGAAAATCATGCAACCCTTAAGACTTGGTGTTGGCTGTCACATCCCAGCCCGGGGCGGATCACTTCCCAGGCCTGACTCCATCACCGTAGCACGATATTGTCCGCTTTGGGCTTACCATTCCCTCACGGTTTTTGTTTTTGGGAACTCACGAGCAACTTCCCAGTGGGTCACCCATCATGGGATTGCTCTAGCCCCCTTCTCGCTTAACTTCGGAGTTCCTACGGAACCCGAAGCCAGTGAGCTCCCAAAAGGCCTCGCGCTAAGTAGGGATGGGATATACATTTAAGGATCACTCCCCTGGGCGATGTGGGATGTCACAATCCACCCCCCTTAGGGGCCCGACGTCCTCGTCGGCACACCACGACCAGGGTTAGGCTCTGATACCAAATTGTCACATCCCGGCCCGGGGCTGATCACTTCCCGGGCCCGCTCCGCCACCGTAGCACGATATTGTCCGCTTTGGGCTTACCATTCCCTCACGGTTTTATTTTTGGGAACTCAC